GATACAAATGAACAGCCTTAAATGAGACCAGGATCAGGTTACCATAGATTGCTGTCGCAATCCTGGGGTATTTTATTTGATAAGGCACAGAGGAATACCAGAGACATTTTTTTGGTGGGGGGGTGGGGTTGGGAATGGGATCAGAAATGAGGAGGGGGAAGTGCGCTGGACTGTGGTGATGGCACACTGGTGATTTGGTGATGGGAAGCCCATGAAAATTACAAGTGAGATGGAAAAAAGCACAAAATGATGTAAAAAAATGACTATTAAAAATAGTCTTTATTGCAAAAGAATTTGCAATTTTTTTAGTTCAAAAATTTATATATATATATGTTTTTATAATTCAAAGCAACTATGTATGAGAGTAGCATTTTTGTGATTCCTTTTTCTCCCCAGAGGCTGCAAAAAAGACATTTCAAGGAAAAGGGATCTTGGCAGGGGAAAACAGAAGTTATAAACCTCACTTGACCTTCATGAAGTTGTCCAAAGCACCATGGCTCCGGAAGAAGGTGAGTGAACATTTTTTTTTTAAAGATTTATTTATTTATACATAGTGAACTGGGGTACAGGCCTGAACTGAGGTACAGGGATTCACCAGACACAGAGTGGGGAGCAGAACAGGCAGATAGTCGAAGTACACTGCTGAGGGGAGCAGCAGACAGGTCAGGAGAGGTCTCTCGTACCATGTGGGTCACCTCTAAGGCGGGGATCAAACTCATGCGGAAGTGGCTTTAGCTTCTTAGTGCTGTGCTTTAACCCACTGCGCCACCAGGGAGGGCCCCGAGTGGACATTTTTATTGTAAATCTTGTGACCTTAAGTAGGCTTAGGAGCATAGGTGACATCTGTAGTGGTTCTCAAGACGCTAGTACTGTTGCTCTTGGGATGTTGGTTCCAGTACTCAGTAAGCTGAGTTGGCTTCTGAGCCTCCATGGAGACTGTGGCCAGGTGCCCTCCTCTACAACCACATCTGCTTGATCCTTTGAAGGGCCCTGAGGTGGTGCCAGGCGTCTGTTTTGTTGCTTTCTTTACTCACAGCCTGCTGTTCTCAGAGCTGCTTCTACTGGCTAGCATACCCTCATGCTGGTCGCTGCACCTTCATTGAGGGACATGATTTTTTTAATCCTCCTTTCTGTAGCTCTTTCAAGATTTCAAAAGATCACCATGCTCTTTTACCAGTTGCCCTGCAGAGAGGACTGGAAGTGAGTGTTCCAGGTACTGGGCAAAGGGGTAGCCAAGGATTCCCCAGCCCTGGCTCCTTCAATGCACTTCTCCCTGAGGGAGACAGCTCAGGGACCTGGCTTTTGACTCTATTTCAGGGTGACTTTCTGCCATTCTAGGCCACTTCCTTCTCTCTCAGATGCCACTCAGAAGCATTTTGACTTCCTTCTGTGTTCCTGAACATTTCTTTCTTTCTTTTTAATGATTTATTTATGCTACAAGAATTGGGGTGTAGGCTGGGGGTGGGGGAGTGGTGAGAGGATTCACCAGAGAAAGAGTGGGGAGCAGAACAGGCAGATCCACTGAAACACACTGCTGAGGGGAGCAGTGGGTATGACAGGAGAGGTCTGCTGAGCCATGTGGGTCAGCTCCCTGGCTCAGGATCAAACTTAGGCAACAGTGGCTGGTAATAGCTTGACAGTGCTGAGACTTTAATCCCTGATTCCGGAGCATTTCCCAGGGTATCCTAATTGTATCCTTACGTCAGTTTAGGGGTTTTCTCATGCAAATGAATACATCTGCCCTGTGTATCAGAGTTTAGGAGATAGACATGCAGACTAGTTTTCTTTCTTGTTCTTCCTGATACTCTGTGGCAGTTAAAACTGGGTGCAGTTCTGTAAATTGAGACTTGTTTTTAGTCATAAGTAGATCTTTTTTATTTGGTCCTTCAAAACATTGGTTTGTGTGATTGAGTGCCTGTGATTTTTCATTTTCTACAAACTGTTGTAAGTTTCCCCTCAAAAAGATATCTTATGTGTTTCCTTTTTGTTTTTTGATAGCCATGCCACAATTTCAATGATATATGTACTAGGTATCATTTCAGAATATTTAGATAAAAGTAATTTATATAAATGATTTAGATTTTGAAATTTATGATAGTATCTGACAAAACTTATAGACTATAACCAAAAAATTTACTTTTAACTCTTTCTTGTTTTGTTTTCAAATGGATTACCCCGTGTTTCAACCTAATCACAGAACCACAAATCAGTGGAAAAGATAATATCCATATTTCATAGTGTTTTTCTTTAAATATTTACTTTGAAACAAGAGCACCCAAGACATTTATTAAAGGAATGTTAAAGGTGCTTCAGACTCTTATTTCAGACTGAATGTAGATGATTCCTTGGCAGTTAATTTAATAGAATTTGTTCCCCTATTTTATCTAGAAAGATTGAATAACTTTGAAAGGTTGAATGATAGAAATGAGCTCACATTGTTCTGAGTTCTAGAGCTCTGTCTAGAGTTAAATTTTCTTGTTCTCAGTCTCATATTCTTCCCTCCCATTAGCCAAACCCAGTTCACCTTAAATCATTTCTGGCTGTCAGGAGCTCTCTAGTCCAAATCATACTATTTCAATACATACCTATCAAGTGTGTGTCATGTGTTAGGCACTGAGGGCTGAGACCTTGCTTTTTGATATTTGGTAAGTGCCACTGATGCTTCTGATCCACATTGTCTGCAGAGTAGCATTTTTCAGACTTACAGGCTTAAATAAATTCAGCATTTTCTTTATGTGGCAAAATTTTAGTTCTTGTGTAAATTAAAGCCAAAATGAAAAGGTGACATTCAGAAAAGTAGAATTTTTAAATCTGCTGTTTGGTTTGGAATGAAGATTATTTGAGCATGTGTGGTCCTTCAAACTCTTGCTTCTTAACTGTTTTGCATGCATTTGTTCTCTCCTAGCACTGTTTTCTCCTAGGCTTTTATTCTAAATCCACCACTTTCAAGGGAGTGACTGTTGATAATGACAGTAATAGAATGTATTGCTAACTTTCAGTACTGTTTAGATTGACAATGAAATAAGAGAGGAAAATGAGAGAGCTGAAATATTAAGGTTTTTTTCTCACTCACACGTTTGGAAATCCGTCTCATTTCAAATATTTTAATTTTTATTTTAAAGTTATTTTAATTATAAAAGTAATAATTGAATATATGTTCATTGTAAAAAGTTAATTATCAAATGAGATGGGGAAATGCACAAAATGATGTAAAATAAGCTTTTATATATTAAAAAAAGTTAATTATATGCAAACTGTAGAGTAAAAGATATAATTTCTTCCCTATCATTACCCTGCTTCCCTCTTGCGCCCAATGGAATTTCTCTTTCCAGGTAACTGCTTCTATTGTATCCTCCATACCTTTCACACACTGAAAAAAGACACATAAAAGAAGGGACATACTGTGTATATTATTCTGATTTATTATTTTAAAATTTTCCCCATGCTGAATAATTAGATTGACTTCTGTTTCTTTGCTAACACTAACAATGCTGTAGTGAACACGTATCTTCATTTTTACTTGGGTTGATAGTGACTAACTCAAAGAACCAATTCCTTGAAATAGAATTTGCAGATCAAAATGTATGGTACATTTTAGCTCTTCAAAAATACTGCAAATTGCCTTTTAAAGTGGTATCAACTTATACTTCTCACCATGCTATATGAGAGGAGCATTTGTTAGGGTGAACTTGAGGTAAAAAGACCATCAAAGATTGCATACAATGCCTTGTAAATTAGCTATGAACTATACAATTCACATAAAAATATAAAATATTCATATTCTTCAAGAAGTTCATGCTGCTGAGATTATCCTAAAGAAATATTTTAAAGAAGAAACTTTTTTTTTCTTTTCAATAGTTTATTTTTCCATCATTTTGTGCATTTTCCCATCTCAGTTGCAATCCCCTTGGGTTTCCCACCACCAAATCACCCATGTGCCATCACCAAAGTGCAGTGCATTTACCTCCCCCCACTGTTTTTGATCTCATTCCCCACTCCACCCCCATAAAATCTGACTAACACTTTTGTTGCTGGTATATAACTGTTCATTCTTATTATTTTCTCGCCTTGTCCGTTATACGCCTGCTATGAGTGAAGCCATCCAGTATTTTTCCTTTTCTTTCTGGCTTATTTCACTAAGCATGATCCCTTCCAGCTCCATCCATGTTGCTGCAAAAGGCATGTATTTTTTTCTTTTGGTTGCTGAGTAATATTCCATTGTGTATATGTACTACATCTTTTTAATACAGTCATCTACTTTTGGGCATTTGGTTTGATTCCATGTCTTTCCTATTGTAAATAAAGCAGCAATAAACACAGGGGTACAGGTATTTTTTCAATCAGTGTTTTTGTGTCTTTTGGGTAGATACCTAGGAGTGGGATTGCTGGGTCGTAGGGAAGCTCCATGTTTAGCAGTTTGAGGAACCTCCAAACAGTTTTCCATAGTGGTTGTATTAGTTTGCATTCCCATCAGCAGTGCAGAATTCCTTTACTCCATATCCTCACCAACATTTGTTGTTGCTAGTTGTTTTAAGATGTGCCATTCTCACTGGAGTGAGGTGGAATCTCATGGTGGTTTTAATTTGCATCTCCCTTATTACGAGTGATGTTGAACATTTTTCATATGTTTGTTGGCCATCTGCATTTCTAAAGAAGAAACTTTTATGTAGAAAAATGGTTACTAAAAAGTTATAAAATGACTTCCATAACAGTAAGGGAATGTTAAAGTAATTTGTGATAAATTACAGCACTGATTTAAGAAGCCATTAAAATAGATGCTATAAGGACTGTGTAGTCACATGAGAAGAAAATGTAGAATGTATAAAAGTAATTTCTTTAGATTGACCTAGCAACACCTAATGCGCATCCATACATTTTAAAGCTAAAAAATGTGTTCCTCAATTGTTCTTTTAGCTCATGAGTTTCCTGCCAGATCATAAAACTAGGTGTCCATAAAGCCACCCAGAATTTATAATAAATCCTCCTTAATTTTATTTATACAAATGTCATTGTGCATATAATTCAGAGCTGTTTTGATTGTTGCTGTGCTTTCAAAGCTATGGTTTTTAATCAAATGAATAAAGATCTGAAAACCTGAGGTTATGATATTTCTGAAATAGGAGCTAACATTCAAGTTATTAGTATGGTTTCCTTAGAATATATTTGTCCCACATCCTTAGTCTGGTACTCAGCTCCATGTTTTGGGTTTATTTTTCTCATCGAGTGACACTGCAATTTAAGCGCTGCAGAAACGGATTAGAAGTGTATGCTAACACTTGGTGGCAGAAGAAGACCAACTTCAAATCAACTAAGCCTCTTCATGCAGCTCTAGAATGCGGAAGCAACAACTGCGATCCTTACACAGGCGGATCAGTTGTTTCTAAGCATCATTCCCTCCCGCCCCCTCCGCCCCACCTCGCCCCCACCCTAAGTTTCTTAGATAGCTTTTCTGATTTCTGACTCTTTCAAATAACTGACTAGCACTTCACTATCAAAGCTAAGGTTTAAA